CTGCCACCTTCTTTTCTAGTTTCACAAAAGGCTGACTTGCATTTAGCAATATTTTTCCCACTTTCTAATGGCTATGCATACTCTTAACACATTACACTTCAAAATAATGGTGGGGCATTTTTTATTTAGACTTATGAGAGAGGCTTTGCCACAGACTAATCTGTCAACACATTTCTTGTACAGTACACAGTGGCATCACACAACTTGGGTTCTGTCTATAGGAGTCATTTTCCTCTCAAGAAATCTTCCAGAAGTCTTATCACCAGAGAAGCCAGGAGTAGTGGTTGGTTTTGGTACACACGTGAAGAGAAGCAACAGCAATCAGCAGAACTGCACTCATGAGAACTATGACAAGAAATTTTAAAAATGAGAATGCGCGTTTAAGCTTTGGGAACATCTAGAGACCACAGTCTCTTGCTGGGCACACCTGGTACCCAGTGATGAACAAAAACACAGTAACAAAACAGCCCCTGTCCCAAAGCAGCCTGCAGCCCAGTGACCGAATTCAGACCCTACTGAATTATGCATACTAAAATCACTACAGGAGATAAAAAAGAAGCAGCACTTGACAGCAGAACTGGCTAGAGTTTATTGAAAAACAGGCACATTTCATCTAAAGCAGCTGAACGTACCTATTTCTTTTCACCACTAACCTGCGTGATAGCTCCACCGCAGCCGTCTGCTACCCGACTCTCGGCTCTACTCTAATCATCAATGTCATGAGCAAGGCCAACCCAAGCCCTGCCTTCAACCAGGACTGGAAAAATAGGTCATGGAAATAACATAATAATCTGATTTAACTGCTATTCAACTCACCAGTCTCTCCATTAATTTGAACAAGAGTTGGATTGGGCCCAAATTACTGACAACAAAATGGAAGGTTTATTTTAATATCTTCACTGTTTCATTTAAGATCTTTCATTCAAAGAAGAGAAAATAGATTTCCCAGATACCTTCAGGTGGCTCCAGTGCAACTTAAATTTTTATGTAAACCAGTTCAAAATAGACAGACTTGCTGCACTGCAGTTGGAAATTGGAGCCCCAACATGGCATAAGGCCACCCCCTCCTCACAGCTGATGGGTGCCATAAAGCAGAGGAATGCCTCAAGAGTAAGAGAGTGCATCATTCATGTATTTGAGTAAAGGAGCTCCAGGATTTGCTTCTCAGAGTACAGTGGAGGGTCTTCAGTCTCAAAACATCTCACCCAGCTGGAAACCTCAAAGGCCAAAGTAAGAAGAGCAAGACTATCCGGAATTAACTTCCCAAACATAACAGCTCATAGCACAAATTTTATTTATTTGATGAAAGCAAAAATAAATTCAAATTCTGTTGAAAAAAAATTAAAAAAAGAAACAAAAAAAGGTCTGCCAAAGAGGCTTGTTTTGGCAAATAATGAATGCCTAAAGAAATGTTGTTTGTATTGTGCAATGAACTTGTAATTAATGTTTGTTTGCTCACCATTTAATAGCAGTTTTGCACTAAGTGATGGGATTTTGCTGCCATTTGTGAATGTGCAGATTTTGAAACTTCATTCCCCATATGGAAGTGCTCCCAGGGGGTCATATCATAAACCCATTCAAATGAACAAAACAAATGACAAGTATCTGTACAAATGTGGAAAATGAGAAAGCTGTATGTATTATTTTACATACGTATTGTTAAGTGCCTTAGTTTACTTGCGTGGTATTTTCCTGCTTGATTGCACAGAGGTAAATCAAAAGAGGCCACCTAGATGAGGAGAATGAAAGCACCAAAACCAAAACTCCTTTAGATGCGATGAGAGGCCCTTAAATAGAGGAGTCGCCTGTTTCTTTCCAGCCAGCCTGGCAATGTTTATGCCTCTCATGCCTACATCTAAATCTAAAGGAAGTCTGAAATCCCAAAGAAATGACGAGACTGGCCAAAAGGAGAAATGTCAGGTAGCAATTGGTGTGCTGTCAAGAATGCAGCCACTGACCTGGATTAATCCTACTTATCTACATGTGCCTGAAACAGAAGCACAATCTGTCTGGCTAAGAGTGAAGCCACTTCCAGAGGGTGACTCAGAGACAAGTAGGCTCCTAACATGGCAGGGAGCCCAAAAGGGATCCATCTAGGCCTTCCACCCCTCCACAGACAAGAAGAGAGGTAGCAGTGCATACGGACAAGATTAAGCCAGCTTAAGTGATTGCCACAGTGCCTGCCACTGCACTTGCACAAACTACACCTAGATTTAGCTGCTTAAGGAAATAGGCAGGTATGCAGGTGGGCTTATTAAAGCCTTTGCTGCTATGGTTTCATTGCTATTAGGGCTCTACGCAATTCACTGTTAAAGCTAGACTTCGCAGAGATACAGGTTGAGGAAGGTGCAACACCTTGCAGAACAAGATTCGGCCATAGCTAACGTGCATGAGTACTGCAGTACATTGTGCTGCTTTAATTCTTTGAGCTGAATACTATGGACTTCTTGGTAGAGGAATGGTGAATATGATTTTGTTTTGAAAAAGCTGTTCCTTTAATTTGCTGCTGCATGGGCACCCAGAGTGAAGGTTTTAGCAGATGCCAAACTCAGTGGGCCCCTGCTTGGTAGTATGTTTGGGACATGGTGGCAAAACTGCTTTTCAGAAAGTCAGTCCTAGAATGGTAGGATTGTGCCACTAACTCAGAGCAAGGTACAGGAGCCATGCCTGTCACCCAGGGGAGATACAAGGAGGCTAGTAGCCAGCCTCCTCTGTAACCAAGTCTGACGCATAATAGCTGAAAGGACATGGACTGTGATAGGATTTACTTCTGCACATTTTTCAGCTCCTACTGGAAGATATTATAAGCCCCTTAATTTCAAAAATAATTTTTAATTTGGTGCTTGTTTTCTCAGAGCTGTGAGGGAGAAGAGGGAATTTGTATTCTTTACAATAATGCCTTTGTGGTATTACATGGCCTTGCTTCCTGGCATTTTTATATTTCCATCTGAAGTTTCCAGTTCTCCTGGACCACAGATTCCTATCGACCCTTAAAATTTGCCAGAGATGACTATGCACTTTCCTACAGTTATTACAAAGGAGAGCTTTCACAGTGATACGGTGCTGCAGCTCACTTACAGTGGCCTCCCAGATCACCCGTATCCAGCTGTATCTGGGGAATGACAGCTTTACATCACTCTGATTTATGGCTATATTAAAGATATTTTGAAGGCATTTGACTATTTAGTTAGAAGCCAAACGTTCCACCTGTAGATGAAAACTTGATCTCTCTTAAGACATCAAGCAGAAAGCTTTGATGGGTGCAGGGAGCTCCCCACTAGGAAACAATACGGTAATTTTAAACTTCTCTGTAAGCTTTGAGTGGGAGAGGAACAGATAGGCCATGACGAACTGCAAAGGAGGACGCAGCCTGTTAAAGGGGCAAGCTGTTGTTGAAGAAGGAGGTATTGGCCTGTGAAAAGCCAGGAACACCTCAGAACTTGAGACGTACCTCTGATAATGAGGTCTTACATGCAGCTGCATACAGTGTTTTTAGTTTTGACAGAAATGAGATTGCTATGTGGTTATTTCCCACGTATATGGAATAGAAAATTTAGTGAACTGTGGCTCAGGGCGGCTGAGGAAGAGTTGGTGTTTCATTAGTATTAAGTATGATTGCATAAACAGGTCTGAAATTGAAGGCTGTGCTAGGAAAGCAGTGAAACAAAGTGAAATACAAACACAAGTATTGCCATGAGCTAAACAGCAAGACAGAAAGCATATATGTTCTTTTCAAAAAGTTGAGGAAATCAGCTTCCTCCACTTTTTCCAATTCTTCAAAATTGAATCTAACACTGAATGAAAATTTTTCTACTTAACAATAGTATAGAACATTGATGCTTCTCTAAGTGCAGCATTTGCAATGCCATCATCATTGCTGAAACATAACCTTAATGATAATTTAAGCCCCTGTTACAGGTCTTTCAGCTGCTCTTGAACCTCATCTATTTTCAGGAGCAATCTGCTCATCTGACACCTCAAAATGGCAGAAATCAATGTGTTATTATGCTGTAAGAACAACTGAAAAGCAAAGTCTTGAACTTGATAAGAAAACTATAACCTTCCTTTATGTTCACAACTTTGCCTTCCACAAAATGTAATTTAAAGAGAGAATTTAAGAACTTTATCTTGGAAATACTCCTTCCTCTGGGCAGATTTAGCTCACAGATCTTCTACTAGATTCTGCCACTACGAAAACATTAGGAAAAAATAAAGGAACAATAGGAAGACCCAACATTGACTTCAATGCTAGAAAAGTGTTCACATATGAGAAATAGACCTCTAAGGGCCACACAGGGAGAAATATACTTATACTTAATAATCATGCATCTGAAAAGCAAACCATAGAACTGCAGCAAAATGCTTGTTGAAAATGACATCCAAATTTTTTGAGAAAGAGGGTTGAAATGGGGAATCAAGTGTATGGTTAGGGAAACAGTGATGGATATTCAGAAAATAAAACACAGTTTGAAAAGATTTGTAAAATCTATGAGTGTAACTCTCCTTTCACTCCTACCCAGCCAATCTTGCCTCAGTCTGGCACCTGGGTTAGTTGGGCTAAACTTTACACTGGGAGAGACAGGAATAAGGCAAATAAGGTAGTAAAAGAATGTGCGAGGCTAAATCTTGAACAGAAAGGTTAATACTTCCACCACTTTTTTTAATTACAGAACTGCAGATTTTTCACATCTGTGATTTGTGATTCATCTTATAAAGCATAAATTTACATTTCACCATATGCACTTTGTTCTTCCACAATGAATCTACAAGTTTATTTTACAGCTTTTCATTGTGCTAACAGTACGTTCCCAGAAGAAAACCGACAGATCTTTTTTTACAGGAATTGGAGAAAATCATAACTCTGCTGTTCAGCTCACTGAAGGTGAGTCTTTATTCAGCAAAATGAGTGTGCTGACCTACCCAGGCCTGGGCACCGGACAGGAACAGAGTAGAATACATACAAAATGACACAAAACCCTCTTTGGAACTGTGTTTTTTACCTGAGGTAGCACTGCTGGTCCTTGTCCTGCCAACCTCTGCAAGGAGCTGACCTGAGGAACCTTAATGGGCACTGCAGTGATAGTTCCCAAAGTCTGTTGGAAGAAAAACAGTTGAACACAGCTTAAAACACTTGCGCAGCTTCCCCAGATAGAATCTGCCCAACCCAGCAGCTCCCCTTTCAGCTCTTTGTCTCTTCCCGACTTATGACAGAAGGGTATAATACATCAGTCCATTTGAAGCTCGCTCTTCTGCCTGAAGAGTCAGAGACTCTTCCTTCTCTTTAACATTCTCTACAAAGCACTGTTAACAAAAGCTTATGATCGCCTATGAGCATTTGGTAATTCTGAGTGCAAAGGATACATCTCATTGTTGTGAAGTTTTTTTGGTACACAAAGAAACTACAAGTGTGCTGCCATGGCTGAAGGCTGCCTAGGCACTAGCTTGTTTTCAAAAGAGATCTGAAAAAAGGTGAAACGCCACAGTGAAACTTCAAAATGTGCACTAGTAAGATGATGCATTTCATGGTAGCCAGGGTCACAAGAGAAGTTCACTGTGTCTTAGTAAGTAGTAAATACTGAATTATTAAAACTGAAAGCTACCTATAAATCTACTACAGCACACTGTAACATAACATTCAGCTAAGATGACATCCATTTGGGCCAACACAGCAGCTATTGCTATCCATGTTTATTTTCTCTACTCGCTCTTCTCTTAGTGGTATAACAAATGTATTCAAAGCTTATTTAAGAGACTAGACTAGACTAGACTAAACTAGAATAGAATGGAATATTTCTATTGGAAGGGACCTACAACAATCACCTAGTCCAACTGCCTGACCCCTTCAGGACAGACCAAAAGTTAAAGCATGTTGTTAAGGGTACTGTTCAAATGCCTCTTAAACACTGGCAGGCCTGGAGCATCGACCACCTCTCTGGGAAGCCTGTTCTGGTGTTTGACCACTCCCTCAGTAAACAAATGCTTCCTAATGTCCAGTCTGAACCTCTCCTGGCACAGCTTTGAACCATTCCCACGTGTCCTACCACTGGATACCAGGGAGAAGAGATCAGCACCTCCCGCTCTGCTTCCCATCCTCAGGAAGCTGTAGAGAGTAATGAGGCTGCCCCTCAGCCTCCTCTTCTCCAAACCAGACAAACTCGGTAACCTCAGCCACTCCTCATAGGACATTCCTTCCAGTCCTTTCACTGGCTTTGCTGCCCTCCTCTGGATGCATTCAAGTATCTTAACATCTTTCTTAAATTGCGGGGCCCAGAACTGCACACAGTACTCAAGGTGAGGCTGCACCAATGCTAACAACAGTGGTATAATTGCCAGCTGTTTAATTTGACCGGCTGGTTATGGTGTGTTTGATGCACCCCAGGATGCGGTTTGCCCTCCTGGCTACCAGGGGACACTGCTGACTCATATTGAGCCTGCTGTCAACCAGCGCTCCCACGTCTCTTTCTGCAGAGCTGCTCTCCAGCCCACTCCTCTCCCAATTTATACTTGTGCCCTGTGTTACTCCACCCTAAGTGCAGAATCTGATATTTTGACTTGTTATATTTCATCCCATTAATCATTGCCCAATGCTCCAATCTATCCAGATCCCTCTGCAAGGCCTCCTGTCCCTCAAGAGAGTCAACAGCACCTCCCAGTTTGGTATCACGAGCAAACCTGCTAATGATGCATTCAACTCCTGCATCCAGATTGTTCATAAAAAATATTGGACAGGACTTGCCCTAGGACTCAACCCTGAGGAACACTGCTGGTGACCAGCTGGCAGCCAGATGTAGCCCCATTCACTACAACCCTTTGAACTCTGCCCTTCAGCCAGTTTTTCACCCAGCACACCATGAACCCACTCATCCCACTGCTGGACAACTTGTCCAGAAGGATGCTGTGAGGGACAGTATCAAAAGCCTTATTGAAATCCAGAAAAAATACATCTACCATCTTCCCTTCATGCACTAGGCAGGTGACCTGATCTATGATAACCATAGAAGGATATGAAATTAGTTAAACAGGACTTTCCTTTTGTGAACCCATGTTGACTGTGCCTGATGATTGCATTATTCTTTAAATGCCTTTGAATAGTACCAAGTATAAGATATTTGAGGCAGCTCCTTCTATGAGCTAATATATTGCTGCATTCTACATGAAGTTTACTTTGTAGATGAATAAGTGATACCTGTTAACCCAGTATTATCTTTAACCCTTATGAATACAGGTAGATACCAAGAGTAAGCAAGTTATCTTTCTGTAATACAGAGCCAAGTACAGACAAGTTTTCCCCTCGCCTAAAAAAATCTGTTTAGCTCCAATTCTTTGCTGACTTTTCATCTATCTGTAGCGATACAGATATCTATAGATGTACATTTATGCTTTCTTTTATAGATGGTCTGAATGCCACCTCTTTTTCAAGCCTCACCCACAGGGGCTCCTAAAATACTGGATCTGAGATGTTGTAAATAACTTGTACTTTATTTTCTTCATTAAAAAGGACAGATAGCTTATATATTTAAGATTGGGCCATAGGTCTAAAGAACATAGCTAACTTTTCCCCTTCAACCTCTTTCATTCCTTTATCCCTGATTAGAATTCATATTTTGGTTAACTGGCCAATATTCTTAAGGCAAGCTTTTATAACTTTTATCTAACGTTTCTTAATTGCTAGTGAGACGACATAGCAATATAAGCAAGCAGATGATTGTCATTATAACAGCAAGAGACACTTAGTCACTGATCACAAAAACTTACCAGGCTGCTAGAAATAGTAATAAGGAAAGAAAAAAATGAATTTCTCTAAATTTAACTCCCCTCAAAACAAAAGTATGGGATCACAGCCAGTAAGATAAAGTATGCTAATATTACCCCAATCTGATAATGAAATTTGTCAATAGAAAGGAAACTATAATGTAATCAGCTCAAGGAAAGCAAAACTGTGTCAGGTCCATGCTGATATGTTCTCCTCAGACCTCAATAACAGAGTGGTAAACAGTCTATTCCATTCTAACTACAGTGTTTGATAGGAATACCATGCATTTTCATGCAGAATATTTTTAATAAACCTGTCCTACAGAGTTTATATTTTTAACTCTGCTACTCCTCTTGGAGACATTTGGGGGTGTGATGTTATATATTCAGCAAAGATTAAAATTTGCATAAGATTTGCCTGAGTTAAACAACAAGGAGAGCTGTACAGTTATAAACATGCAAGACAATTTTTCCTGAGTACTCATGGATTATCAGTACCCTGGATTATCCGTGGAAAAATATACTCCATTAAAATCCTGTCTTCAGCCAAGGGTAGGGTAGGGTGGGGTAGGGTGGGTGTCAGAGAAAGCAGCATTTCCACCCATGGATGCCAAAACAAATTAAGTTATACCTTCCTGCAGAAGTAAAGGTATTGGCAGCAGAGCAAGGAACAGAAGGTTGTATTTCCACTGCAGTTATCCTTATAGGGTGACACATGGAATAAAAACAATGGGAAAGATTCTATAAACTATCTGAATTAATTACTTCTTTGCCCTATATCACAGCCTCACACATTGGGAAGGACAACGTGATGAATTCTTGCAGTCTGGAAAGGAGAACTTGAGCTGCCACCTGCTGCTATTGCCACTTACTAGACATATCACAACTTCCTGCTTTGTAGTAGCGTGAACTAAAATTCAGTTCAGCCCAGTTATTTGCTTTTTAAGGTGAATACCAAAGTGAACTTTCCAACCCACACTTTCCCTCCATCCCAACAATTCTGATATACAGAATGAGATTTCTTTCACAATGCAGTGAAGCCTGAGTTTTCCCTGGAAACACTAGGAGCACCACAACTTCTCCCAGGCTGCACATATACCCTCTACAGAAAGTTAAAAAAAGTTAAAAAGTCCTTCCTTCTGGAAGATCGTGCTTAAAGTGTGGCTGCATCTCTCGCCATTTTTATATATGCTACCTCTGACTTTGAAAACAGACATTCTGATATTCTTATTCCTACAGACACATGTAGATTTGCAAGGATTTTAAAAGTGGCCAACAGAATACCATGTATTAAAATCTGAAGTGCCGACACTGAGTGAAATTGGGAATTGACTGTACAGATAAGAATCAAATTACTCAGAGGTTAGATAAGATACAGTTATCAATTGACCCACAAAAACTCCACATCTGAGTAAGAAATCTTTTTTCCTGTACTACTACAAATATCAATAGCAAGGGAAAAAAAAACAACAAATCAACCCTGTCTAGAACAGAATGCTTTTGTCCTGTGAGGAAGGAGCTCATCTCAAGCCTCTAGGTGCATCGTTGGGCCAATTCCCTTTTATGTTTCTAAAACACTGAACCATTGAGCCAAAAGGAATGGGAAGGAGAGAAGAAACAAGAAACACCATATAACTATTCTACACCGTTCTTAGTTTCACCTGAAGACAAAGCCAGGATGCATTGTCTGTGGGTATCAGAGAAATGAACTATCATTAGTTCTGTCACCTGCACTCTCAAAAAATTCATCAGATTTATTTTCCTGAAGTAGGAGATCTGCAGCAGTCTCGAGAGAACAAAAACAAATTATGGCATTCTCAGGTTATGAAATTTTCAGTGACAAAGATGCAGCCTCCTGTTTACAAATGTTTTTATAGTAAGAATCTGTTATTTAATATTCAAGGAAACAATGTCAGTATAAAAATCATATGGCCAAGGGAAAATTCAAAACTTTAATCTCACATTAATAAGAGTACTATAGTATGTTCAGACAGAAAAATATCTAAGAATATATTTTACTTTTGTCTATTTACATTGTTTTGTTATTGTTTCCCAGCTTGGGCAATAAATAGTTCAAGCTGTTGTATCAGCAGAATTCAATGACAGAAACCTCTGTATTTTTCCTGTAACACATTTTATCTGTTATCCATTTTAGTGATGAAAAAAATGGAGATTTAGAGGTAAAATAATGTTGTCAGGGCTAGACTGTTGTGCAGGTGGAAATGCAAGCCAGACTTCTTCCAGTGTCTCATTCATGTGATTGATTAACCTCACCTCATCTGCTGATGTAAAGTCACATCTGAGTCACCTAATTTTTAGGTCAGATTTTAATGATCAGAGC